GCGAGAGCGGGAAGAGGAGGAGGGTAAGGGGACTGCAGTGGGCCGGAGATGATGATGGCGATGACGCTGATGTTGGTGACGATTACTAGCCGACGACGACGCCGACGACGACCAACAATATGTTGAGGATGCGGATGGTGATGCTGAAAAGTACGATGACGATGATGGCGATGGTGATCACCATGCTGATGATAATGGTGATACTGATGATTGTTGTGATGGTGACGGTGAAGGTGACCATGACCATGACGATGACGATGAAGATGACGGGAATGAGGATGACAATGACGACGATGATCATGACCCTAGCTAGAACTTGAGCGCGCGCGAAGCTCGCGCGATGGTTCTAGTACATATATATATATACACACATCCCGATTTCTCTCCCTGGTCATTTTCCACTGCATCGGCTTGTCTATTGCAGGTCGGCTCGGATGGCGTTCCCAGTTCGCGGTTTTACCTTTTGATCCGCGCAGTGATTGATGCCGCATTGATTCCGAGTTGTGTGGAGATCTGTGGTCTCGCTCTGTCCGCCCCAGAAAAACTTACCTGCCCGTATCCATTTATCGCTGGGTGGGTGTCCCTCTGGAGGGGTATCCCTTCACTGTCCCCTTTATGTATCCCGCAGCCGCAGGATGGGAACCCCGCCAGCCGGGTCCCGCTCCAGGTGCTCGTCCAATCTAGCGTCGCCAGACGGGTATCCCGCCGGCTGGGTACCCCTCCATGGGCCCGCTGGACGTGGGTATCCCGCAGGCTGGGCGCTCCAGGGGCTCCCCCTGCCCATCCGCTGGCAGCCGCCGGGTGGGTTTCCCGCCCGCTGGATATGGTGGGGGCGTTCGTTGAGGAATGTGCCCATGAGGCTAGAGACCCTGGAGGGTTCCTGATCCGATGAGGGTGGCGGTGATATCCATGGCCAGTCTACGATTGGAGTTCCACCTGCTTCCAGGCTCTGGATTCCTTATCCAATGCTTCCTTACAGTTGGGGCCCATGCCAAGAAACACCCTGCTTGCCTCCAGAGTGCCCTGGATTTCTTGGGTTTCGATGGTTTTGCGATGGACAGCGTGACGTGCCCACGCTAAAAGTCAGTAGACGTCCTGGGTTCTCAAGGTCGGGTTTCTTGTGGAAGGTTTCTTGTGGTCGGGCCTCCACTGTATCCAATGCCCCCACTGTGCTCCTCCATGGGCCCCCCGCCCTGCCCATGCAGTAGCCGCCAGACGGGCCTCCCGCGGGCCGGAGGCCCCTGGGCACCTCTGTGAGCCCCCCCCAAACCCAGCAGCCGTTGGCTGTGCATCCCGCCGGCGGGGTACCGCTCCAGGGGCTCCCCCCCTGGGAACGCTGCGCCAGCGCGAATGCTCCACCCCCTCCTCTTCCTCCTCCTCCTCCTCCTCCTCCTCCTCCTCCTCCTCCTCTGGGAAAAGGCCTCCCAGGCAGCAGCCATACCTCCTGTCCCAGTCAGTAGCCGACGTCTGCATTTGCGACGACACGATATTTGCCTACCTCCCCGTATTCCATGACAGTTGTGGAGAGACGGCGCGTGGGAATTTTGCATAGTGTACAGTCATCATACGCACAATGTAGCGATGGGTCACGGACGGTGGGGGGGAAGAGTGGGAGGATAATCCAGAGTACCATGTGTTACCCTGGGGGCCACTGGGCACAATGCATCTGCCTCCGTCGGTCCTTCGATCACCTCCGGCCCCCACAACCCATCTGGCTCAACGATGGTCCAGGTGCGCAATCGTCGCGCTCTAGCGGGGAGATTTCGGAGTGCAGGACGCTGGAGGCTGCCCATGGCCTTCACCAGCAGCGACAAGCTATGGCCATGCGGCCACTGCGGCAAGGGTCTCGGGCACTACAAGATGATCGAGACCCACAGGGAACACACCAAAAACGAGCCAGGACATGAAAAAGATCAAGGAGGCAAAGGAAGTCAATGGAATGGGGTGTGCATCGACTGCGAGCCGGCGCTCAGGCAGGAGGACAGGATCGAGTCGAGTGACGTGGAGAAGATCCGACATGGAGGAGACCAATACATCACGAAGGAGCAAGTATGCCGAGAACAGAAGTGGAAAGCTCAAGGCCCCGCGTGGGCAGCCCAGTCTTTGGGGCAGATCCAGGCAGCGAAGGCGATCATAGATGCCGAGCAAGGAGAAGGACCGAATGACAAGTCTCGCAACCAGTGGAACAAGATGGTCATCGAGAGGTCCGAAGGGATTTTTTGTTTTTATAAAAAAAAACACTCCTGGAAGGATTCACAATGAACGGAGGCATCTTCACAGCCTTCAGCAAAGCAGGAGAAGACATGGCGGATGCCCTAATATGCGCAGAAGAATACGACATCCTGCTGAACAAGTATTTAGCCTTGGACGTAAATGACGAAGGGGCGCTGTATGCAGCCAAGAAGGAACTGGAAGAGAAGAAGAAAGAGCTGCACGAGATGGTCGACTACAAGACAACAAAGGAAGCACAAGGGGGATACAACAGACAAAGTACCTCGAGGCGCTGGTCTTCGTGGACGAGTGAAGAGATAACATGCAACTATCCAGGAGGAGCACAGGATGAGCACAGGAGGAGCAAGAGGAGGAGCAGGAGGATGGGGCAAGAAGGAGTATGCATGCTCATGCGGACTGGCCTTTCCTGACAAGCTCGGGTGGAAAGGCCCCAGCCCCAACTCGAGGGGAGACCAGTGAACGTTCTGGTGCAATGTGGACTAGAAGCAGCTGGTGACGACGCATGAGATCCACCCAGAAGATGAGCTCTTGAAAGAGTGGGTGGACAAGATGAAGAAGGATTTCGGCAAGGGCTGCGAGAAGTGGCTCGACATCGGGTGCAATGCGAAGTTCCACCCGTACAGGAGGGAGCCTTCCATGGTGGCGGAGCTCAAGGTCGGAGAAAAGTGGGAAGGGTTTGTAGCTGACAGGCTGCCGCAGAAGCTCGAGGACGCCATCGAGGGGAACCGCTACGAGTTCTACGGCGCCGGCCAGAAGATGAGCCCGGAGGAGCTGTTCGAGCTGACCCCGCCGTCCTTCCCGATTACGCACCAGGTCGAGGGCTTCGCGCTGACCGCAAGGTGCCCAGTGGGCGCGTGGGAAAGAGCAGGGGCGAGGTCCTTCTCTACGCGAAGCTGGTGCGAGCTGGCGCCGAAAATTTCGCAGAGCGACGAGGACAACCTGTGGGGCGTCATGGAGATGGCCTCGAAGGAGATGAAGAACGAGTCGACACGTGACCCAGAGGAGGTAGAGAGATGTAAAAAAGGCCAACAGCTCCGAGACGGTACGAAGACCATGTGGGATGGCACCGAGATCTTCGAGATGTGCGCCGAGTCGGGGGAGGCAGCCAGCGAGGATATCTCGGAATGCGACTCTAGGCAGGCGGGGCGGGCAGACCCAGAGAGGCCAGGGCTAGCGGGGACATCTCGGCGCGAGGGCCCTTGGGAGAGAGCCCGCGCAGACAACGTCTTGGGAAGTGGTGTTTGGGAGCGCCGACGGGTGCACTATTGCAGGGGGGAGGATTGGAAAATGAGATAACCGCGAAGGCCACCAGAGCGCATCCTCAAATGCCCCGTCTATCTCGAATCTTCAGTGGTACAGCTGGAGGACAGGATGCGGGAAAGAAAACCCATCTCCCACATGCCGTGACTATAAGTATGCTCGCCCCTACCTACTCACAGAGGGAGTGCTGTGGGATACTGCTGCAAGGTACCAGAGTACAGATACGACAACGCATGGGACAACCAACGGCCAGCGCGCTCAGGAGGAGAAGTGAGCGTAGAGAGAGAGAGAGAGAGAGAGAGAGAGAGAGAGAGAGAGAGAGAGAGAGAGAGAAGAGAGACTTGGGTATAAATGAAGACAGCTGGTCGTAGGCAGGATGTAATTAGGTCCCCCGAACAAGTTTGGATCGCAAGGGCCTCCCGCTTTCCCTCCTCTTCTCCTTTCTGAGTGGTCGCGTCGTCGTTCCCCCCCCCCTCGCTTGGGGGCCCTGCTCGCCCAGCGCGTCCCCAGTGTCATCGGCGCGCGAGAGGGCCAACAGCTGCCCCCCCCCCCCCCCGCGCTGACCCGCAGGGACTCGTACTTACAAGGTAGCGAGCCTCTCTTACGGGCCACCTCGGACCTCGCCTGTTGAAACTTCGGGATGTGACCCCTGCCAGCCCGAATGAGAAGTCTGGGCTCCATCACAACCTAATCGCAGGGGGTTTTGCCAGTCGCGCACGTGGCACCATCGTAGGTTTTGACGTTGGTCCCCTTATGCGGATGTCCTGTCTTGTCCTCCTCCCCTCCCATTTCCTCTTCCTCTTCCTCTTCCTCTTCCTCCTCCTCTTTATCCTCCTCCTCTTTATCCTCCTCCTCTTTATCCTCCTCCTCCTCCTCCTCCTCCTCCTCCTCCTCCTCCTCCTCCTCCTCCTCCTCCTCCTCCCCCTCCCCCCTTGGAGCGCTGGGGCTCGCCAGCGCCCGTGCGCAACGACCGTGGCCCGTTCTGAAAGAGGGCGGGCGGGGGACGCGCGGGTATGGAGGCGGAGGTGCAGGCGGCTGGCCTCCAGGGCGGTCCCAGAGAGCTCAGCAGAGGCCGCACTCTCTGAGGGCTGCGCCGCGTCGTCCGACCCTGGTCGAACACAGCCAGCACCCCCGTTAAAGGGGAGCCGGTCAGTGATTGGGCCCCGACACCCACAACATAGGCTGGAATCTTGAAACCAGGTTGGCCGTAGATGATGCTTTTCGGGTGACGGCATTTGTGGTTAGTAGAATGGGGTGGATGCGGTGCCCCCTGGTGCAAATCACTGCACCAGGTCCTATTAACTCAGTTTTGCCGACGCCTAACCTGGGGAGGTCCCTGTCGCCGATGCCAAGCAACGCGACGGGGATGGGATGGGGGCAGGATGGGGGAGGAGCAGGGACGAGGATGAGGAGCAGTCCTTCCGAAACGAGGAGGGGGAGCGGAGAGCCCCATCCGGCGGAGCGATCACCCCCGCCCCCCTCCAGGCGGAACGCAGCAGGGTCGACGCGCCCACGGCTTAGTCGCGGCTGTGCACTGCACGCGCGCTCTCTGGGCGCCAGTTTTCATTCAAGGATTGATGGTGGTGGTGGTGGTGGAGGTGGTGGAGGTGGTTGGTGGTGGTGTTGAGGATGACGTTGGTGATTATGCTGTTGCAGTTGGTGATGGCGATGCTAATGATGATGTTGTGACTGATGATGGTGATGCTGACGATGCTGATGGTGATGATGATGGTGATGCTGATGCTGATGCTGATGCTGATGTTGTTGTTGATGATGATGATGATGTTAGTGATGATGCTGATCATGATGATGATGATGATGATGATGATGATGATGATGATGATGATGTTAGTGGTGATGATGATGCTGCTGCTGAGTTTTGCTTTGATGATAGTGATACTCATGATGCTGATGATGGTGATGGTGGTTGTGCTGATGATGTCGGTGATGATGCTGCTGCTGATGAGGGTGATGATGCTGCTGATGATGATGTTGTGACTGATGATGGTGACGATGATGCTGATGCTGCTGCTGATGATCTCTGATGATGATGGTGGCGAAGATGACGATACTGATGATGATGCTGCAAGTGAAGTTGCTGATGAGGTTCGTGATTGTGTTGATGATGGTACTAGTTGAAATGACAATGGTGATGGCGATGACGATGCTGCTGCTGATGCTGATGGCTATGAGGACGAGGATCAGGATGAGGATGTGGATAAGGATGATGCTCTTGATGACAGTTGTGGTAATGGTGGCGATGATGATGATGATGATGATGATGATGATGACGATGCTTATGGTGATGCTGATGGTGATGATGCTGATTAAGATGCTGATGATGATCATCATCATCATCATGACGTCGATGGCGATGGTGATTGCGAGGTCGATGATGGTGAGGATGCTGCTGCTGCTGATGATGATGATGTTGGTGGTGGTGATGTCGATGCTGATGATGATCATGATGATGCTGATGATGATGTTGATGATAATGATGTTGATGCTGATGCTGATAGTAGTGGTGATGCCAATTGCGATGACGATGATGATGCTGGCTGATGATGCTGGCTGATGATGCTGGCTGATGATTCTGCTACTGATGATGATGCTGATCATGATGATGTTGATGCCGATGATGATGACGATGAAGTTGACGACGATGATGATCTCTGATGTTAATGATTAGTATGCTGATGATGATGTTGCTGATGCTGATGATGTTGATTATGTTGATGCTGATGATGATGATGATGATGATGATGATGCTGGTGATGATTGATGCTGATGCTGCTGCTGATGATAATCAGGAGGAGGAGGAGGCGGAGGAGGAGGAGGAGGAGGAGGAGGAGGAGGAGGAGGAGGAGGAAGGGCGAGAGCAAGAGCAACATGAGGTGGAGGAGGACGTGGAGCAGGAGTGCCACACCATTCGAGCGTCGCTAGAGGTTGCGCCCTTGGTGGCAGAGCTCCTTAGAGGGCTTGACGTAGTACCGAAGGAGCGTCGTACACGACACGATGCAGTAGTAAGCTATGCTTCGGTCTGCTTTGTCAGAGTGAGGGGGCTGAACCGAACGGTCATTCACTGTCTCTGAGTGCGTGGCTGAAGTGGAATTCCGCGATGCGGATTCTCGTTGTTGTTGATCTCTCATTCTTGAAGAATAAATTGTTTTTTTGTCAATTGAAGTGCCCCCCCCCGGTGCTCGCACTTTTATTTTTTGTCAAGGAAAGTCTTCCTGCTCAAACTGGCCCCCTGGCCCCCAGGCTACAACAACAACGGCTCCCGCCTGAGACTTCCTCACAATTTCACCAGGACCCCCGCTCCCGCCCTAGACTTCCTCGCATTTGATTCAAGAATCGCGCTCTCGCTTGGGACTTCCTTACGATTTATTCAGGAATCGCTCCTCCTGCGCTCTGGAGTCGCGCTCTCGCTGGAGACTTGCTTGCAATTTACTGAAAAATAGCGCCCTTGCGTGGGAATGTCTTGCAATTTACTCCAGCGCCGCGCTCCCGACACCCAGGCACCCAGGAGTCGCGCTCACGCTTAGGACTCCTTCACAGATTACCTAGGAATCGGGATCTCGCTGCCCTTCTTGGCCCCGTTGCAGCCCTTCGTGGCCCCCTCGCTTTGTTTCGTGGCCCCGTTGCAGCCCTTCGTAGCCCCCTCGCTTTGTTTCGTGGCCCCGTTGCAGCCCCTCGTGGCCTCCTCGCTGCCCTTCGTGGCCCCGTTGCAGCCCTTCGTGGCCCCCTCGCTTGGTTTCGTGGCCCCGTTGCAGCCCTTCGTGGCCCCCTCGCTGCCCTTCGTGTCCCCGTTGCTGCCCTCAGTGGCCCCCTCGCTTTGTTTCGTGGCCCCATGTATGTATGCCGTTCGTGGTCCCCGCTCGTTCGCGCCCGTGGTGGCCCCATGTGCATGCCCGTCGTGGCCCCGCTGTCGCCCTTCGTGGCCCCCTCGCTGCCCTTCGTGTCCCCGTGGCTGCCCTCAGTGGCCACGTCCTTACCCTCCGCGGCCCAACCTACGTATGCCCTTCGTGGCCCCCGCTCGTTCGCGCCCGTTGTAGCCCCATGTGCATGCCCTTCGTGGCCCTGCTGTCGCCGTTTGTGACCCCCTCATTGTCCTACGTGGCCCAGGTGCTACCCTCATTGGCCCCATCGTTGCCCTGCCCTTCGTGGCCCACACTCGTTCGCGCTCTTCGTGGCCCCATACGCATCCCCTTCGTGTCCCCGCTGTCGCCCTTCGTGGCCTACGTCGTGTCCTTCGTGGCCCTGCTGTCGTTCTCTCTCGCTCTCGCTTTCGCTCGTCGTCGTCGTCGTCGTCGTCGTCGTCGTGGTCGGTCCCCTGTCCGTCCCTTTTGGGGTCGGGTCGACGGTCCGTGGCCGCCCCGCCGATCAGCGCTGCCGCTGGCCAGGCCGACGGTCCGCGGCCGCCCCGCCGCTTACCGGGGCCCGGCCTGCAGGGAAGAAAGGTATACCCCCCAAAAGGGGTTCGATCGAAGACGAAGAGGGGGGGGTTATCGAGGGTTTGGGAAACAGCGTTATTCGACACTCGAGCAGTAAGGGCGAACAGTCTTAAAATGATTGTTGTTGTTGTTGTTGTTGTTGTTGTTGTTGTTGTTGTTGTTGTGTGCTTGAACATTATTTCTTAAAGAAAATTTTGCGGGGCCCTGGTGCACGACCCGCGCGCGCCTAGGCCGGCAGCCACGTTTTCATCATTTTTCGTGAGGAAAGCCTCAGGCAATCGATGTCATCAGATCCGGTTGTTTTGTTGTAATCCGTTTTCCCTTGCAAAAAACACTATAAAATGACATTTCTTGTTCTAATATAATCAAATTTCAAGAATCCCTTGCAAAAAATAAGGTAAAGTGGACATTCGCGCGCGCAAGACGAAATCCTTCCAAAACCTTAGTGTTCGTAGCGATTTTAACATAAAAACATCAAAAACCCAATGGTTTTTCAACAAAAAAATGTCAAAATCTCATCCCGCGCGCTCTTGCGGATTCGTAGGAAACCCAACACTTTTTAAACATTTCTGTCAAACGGGCTTTTGCGAGCAACTTTTTCGAACTTCTGCAACAACGGTTGCGCACCTGCCAGGGCCATCATCCCTGTCAAATAATACCATGCGGGACACATTCGTTTTTTCTTCGCGCGCGCACGCCGTCGTCGTCGGCCGCGGGGCCCTGAATAGTAGCCACGGTCGTCCGCATGCCACGAAGTGAGTGTCCGAACGTCATAGGGCGGGAAGCTGGGTGTGGGTGGTGGCGAAGAGTCGTTTGGAAATTTGGTAGAGCTTGAACCGGCCCCCCCACAAAGTGGGGGTATTGCCCGCCTCCTATGAAAACCCTGGCACTGGTCAGAACGGAGTGTCCCCAGTCTTAAATGATTGTTGTTGTTGTTGTTGTTGTTGTTGTTGTTGTTGTTGTTGTTTTTGTTTTTGTTGTTGTTGTTGTTGTTGTTGTTGTTGTTGTTGAACTCTCATTCTTGAAGAATAACTATTGTTGATCCCCCCCCACCGTTGCACATTGATTTTTCCAATTGAAGTGCCCACCCGGTGCTCGCACCTGGTTTTTTGGTCAAGGAAAGTCTTCCTGCTCAAACTGGCCCCCTGCCCCCCGGACTACAACAACAACGGCTCCCGCCTGAGACTTCCTCACAATTTAGCCAGGACCCCCGCTCCCGTCCGAGACTTCCTCGCATTTTATTCAGGAATCGCGCTCTCGCTTGGGACTTCCTTACAATTTATTTAGGAATCGCTCTCCCGGCGCTCTGGAGTCGCGCTCTCGCTGGAGACTTCCTGAAAACTAGCGCCCTTGCGTTGGATTTTGTCGCGCAATTTGCTCAAGCGCCGCGCTCCCGACACCCAGGCACCCAGGAGTCGCGCCCGTTGTGGCCCCATGTGCATGCCCTTCGTGGCCCCCCTGTCGCCGTTTGTGGTCCCCTCACTGTCCTACGCGGCCCAGTGCTACCCTCAGTGGCCCCATCGTTGCCTTCTGTGGCCCCACATTATCTGCCCTTCGTGGCCCCCGCTCGTTCGCGATATTCGTGGCCCCATCTGCATTCCATTCGTGTCTCCGCTGTCGCCCTTCGTGGCCTACTTCGTGTCCTTCGTGGCCCTGCTGTCGTTCTCTCTCGCTCTCGCTTTCGCTCGTCGTCGCCGTCGTCGTCGTCGCCGTCGTCGTCGACGTCGTCGTCGTCGTGGTCGGTCCCCTGTCCGTGCCTCTGGGGGTCGTGTCGACGGTCCGCGGCCGCCCCGCCGATCGGCGCTGCCGCTGGCCATGCCGACGGTCCGCGGCCGCCCCGCCGCTTACCGGGGCCCAGCCTGCAGGGAAGAAAGGTGTACCCCCCAAAAGGGGTTCGATCGAAGATGAAGAGGGCGGGTATCGAGGGTTTGGGAAACACGCGTTATTGGACACTCGAGCAGATAAGGGCGAACAGTCTTAAAATGATTGTTGTTGTTGTTGTTGTTGCTGTTTGTTATTTGTTGTTGTCGTCGTACCACCCGCGACCCGCCCCG